TAAGCAAGTGCTTTTAGTGGGCTGAACAGTAACAAGGAGATTAGGAAGACAAACTGTGCTCTTAACTCATGTCGGAATCCAAAAGGTTATTTGTAGCTATTTAAGAAATATAGCAGTAGGGAATTCACATTACCAAAGGAACACATTAGCACTGAAAGGCTAAGTGCAGATGACAAGATAATATAAATTAATCATCAAACAAATATATATACACATACAACACATGCACGTGCGTGTACACACACACGCACACATATGTACACACATATATGAAAGCAACTAAGAGACAGAGGGCCAGTAAGCAATTTTCCCTATGGCATTTGAACACATCCGTTAAGTGCTTATATTTAGGTTATTTGCCAGGATAAAACCCCATGTGACAGGATCAGTAGCAGTAAGGTAAAGTGGTCCATACTGGTTTCACCTAATTTTAGTTTTTTTTTTTTTAAAGATTTATTTATTTATTTATACAAGCACTGGGTACAGTCAGAAGCATGGGAGGGTGAGAGAATTCACCAGAGCCAGAGCAGGGAGCAGAGCAGGCAGAAGGATCAAAGTACACTGCTGAGGGGAGCAGCGGGCGGCTGGAGAGGTCTGCGCGCCATGTGGGACCCTCCTCCGGTGGCCGGGGAGCAGCTGGGGATCGAACCAGCGCCACAGAGGCCGCGGGCAGCCTCACAACCCAGCGCTCAACCGCTGCGCCACCGGGGAGGCCCACCTAATTTTAGTTTTAATTTACCATTAAGAGAGGGACTTGATCAAACAGCAAAATGAACCTTTCCAAATATATTTGATTAAAGAATCAAAACTTAACTAGAAAATAAAATGCCACATAAAATATTTAATAACCTATAAATGTCATCCACTTGCATTTTTTTCAGTGCATTTACTATAAACTAAAAAGGAAATCAGAATAAAATACTTTAGTACACACTGGCTTCTTCCAATAATGACCTGAAGAGAACAACCTTTGATGCAAAGCAAACTTCTCCCTTATTTACTTTGATTTTATAGTAATTCTTTTGAAACATGTTTTTACTAAATACCCAGCGTACTGTCAATGGTTGAACATACTAGAATTTAAGATAAGAATCCCAGATTGGTCTCAAGCATGTCTATTAGAGAGAACTTTTTAGAGGGATGATTGATCCTTTTACAAGGGATTCTTATCAAGTTGGGTCAAAATTTCAAACTAACAACAACATTAAAAGACCAAGCACAAGAACAACTGAATATCCTCAGGAAAAAAACAGGTTTAAAAAAGTCAATATGCCTTAAATAGTCATTCCATTTTAAATACTGGCAATCAAAATCTTTATGACTTGAAGGATATAATCTTAACTAATATTTCTGCTTAAAAAGTGAGATTTACATTTACACCCAAAAGAACAACTAAAGCAGGACAGGCTCTTTACCAAGTGGGGGTAGGATTGATTCTTTGTCTCTCTGTGTACTTGTTTCTCCCCACTTCACACAATTAACTGCACAAAAAATAGCTAAGAAACCTACAGGTAATGTTAATGATCAGGGTTGTGTTTGTCAATGCAAAATGGGAAGAGAAATTCAAAGCAGCTATAAACCCATTTTCCACTTTCAAAAAGTCAAATGATATATTTTTAAAATGTATTATTTACTCATATGTGAATAAAACATAGGTAGAAATTACTTGTTATCTAGAACACCATTAGTTAGATGATAGGTGCAAAATGAAATCAGACCTTGAAACAACAATTAGAGTTTACTTTTGTTGCCTTGAAGTAAACTGACTCCCCATTTAGTGAACAATATTTTTAAGGGGGGTAGAGGGAAAATGATGCAATGTCATCTTTAACAAATATACAAGAGAATTTGGTGTCAGCAAATTCTCAACAATTTCTCCTGAAAATGAGAGGGTCCTTCAGGAAGACACATGCAACATGATTTAAAATTTAGCAAGGACTGCATATTTATAATTCCAATTTTACTCCAATCACAGTTTAGGATTCAATACAGTCACTACCAGATTGAAGACCAGAGAAAGGGGGGGAGGGGTAAAGTTATAACCATATATGGTTTTTATCAGACACTGTGAATTCTACTCTTCTACTGTTTGTTTCAGCATATCACAGCCATATTCTTAAGTATAACACAGAAAACACTTGTAAAATATTAAATGTGACCATAGGGAAATTGATTTTGCTTTAAGAAAGTTTCGGATTACCACTTAATCTCAACCAAACTACATCAAACAGGGAAAGCAATGATATATATATATCATTTATAAAGTAAACTCGATCACTGTATTTAAAAGAAATGATAACTTTGAGAAGTACCACAGCAATAATGTTTAAGCTACAGCAATATAAAGCTCTCCTAAAGTAAATGCCAAATTCTTTGGCTGAAATGCAGTCTTGATTTAGTTAGGCAAATCAAGCATAAGGGCCATCTCCCTCCTTGAGAACTGCTCTTTTCACTTGCAGTCCAGGCCTCTCCTTACAAAACTGTATTTCACAAAGGTTCCTGGGAGGCAGTGGGATCCACAGATGTAGTTTAAACAAAGTTTTAAACTTGAATCTTTGTAGTCCAAAATTTAGTAGTGGAAATACACACTTATCATCATCCTACATTTTCCACTTGACTCTCAGCTCTCTTTCTCCCCTTCACACACCAGTGAATTAGGAAGAAAGTATATCTGAACAGTCATAATTTATAGTGAATTTTTGGCACTGAATCAACTGCACATGCTACGCAGACACCAACTCAGTTCCATGCTCCTATTAACATGTACTTCATAATTTCTAGGACACATAAAAACCAAGTTTGACACTTTCAAGAGTTCATACTCTTAAAAGCATGTGATTGCATATGTAGTTTACAAAGAAGAAAATCATGGTAAAATATACTTTTTTTAATTGTTAGTAAAGTGCAACTTATTTAATAGGCCCTCAACATCAAATTGGTATGTAATATCCAAACATCATCTGTAGCATGAAATCAATTGGATGAGTGGGCAAATCATATTAAATTCATCAATGTAGCCAGGTAGAAGTCAACACTCTTGACACTTCATTGGATCTATAGCATTTTATAACTTAGAGCTGCCAACCATTACAGCACAACTGATTCATCATCACTCTCACACTATTCTAAAGTCACAAAGCCCTAACATTTCTGACTAATAAGCACTGAACCTACCATATATGCAACAGTAGTTTAGTTCCAGCCTTAACCTTCACAGGCCAATTTGTTCTGACATGTACTTTATATAAAAAACTAGACAGCAATAAGGAATAGCATAGGAGTGCCTGATTTATCCGTGTTCTGCAATAGAGCGACAGTGTTACAGTAAGTTACTTATTTTATGTTCTATATTCTTGGTTTAAATACCTATTATTCAAACTGTCCCCAGCAGAGCCAGACTCACCCATCTTTGGAATCAAAAGCTTTTTATTCCAATAGCCTAGAAATAGCAGGTGCACAGTAACACAGAACTGGAGGGAACAGAAACAGCTCACTGTAATAATACACACAGACGATTTCTTTCTCAGAGCATGTACATTAATTGCTGAAATCTGTACACTGTTTAAAAGTTGAGGGAAAGTTTATGAATAACAGTGAGTTCCTAACACTAGTCTCTAACAGGCACTACATAAAGTGTCTTAAGAAGGGTTCATGGGATGTTCTTGCACCCATTTTCAAGGGATTTTATAGCAGATGTGGGTGTAAACCAAGATTTGCTGATTTAAGGCATACATCCTTGAACACGCTTTTAGCCGGAGAGCAGGCACGCTGGAGAATACAGAATACGGCTAATTACCACGGGAGAAAATTCTGCCTACACCTAGCGGCACTATCAACCACTTTGCTCAAGTTCACTCACTGCCTCGCCCTGACCCTGGGGATCCGATATCCACTTTCCACTGCCCAGAGAGGCTGTTGAAAAGCTGTCAAAGTAAATCTGTGCTAACTTTTTGGATGGTTTAATTTCAATGGAGCATGAAACACCCCAGGATGGTTAATAAGTTTAGCCAGGCATGCTGTTCTCCCTAATATATTTTAATTATGCATCTGTTTTAATTGTAATCAGATTAAGTCACCGAAAAGGCACAAATTGGAATTTTCCTTAATGGCTATTGGAGCTTTTCATCAGTTTCCAAACACTCACAACGTTTAAAAAATAGTAGAGACATAAGGACAACTGTAACATTTTCCAGAAATCAATGCAGTTTCTTGGACAACACAGTTCAGTTCTCATTAGCCACCCAAACTAAAGCAAATGCAAAAGACAACTTCAGTCTCTAGGGGCGTCTTCTTCCCCAATTAGCACAAAAGAGTCGCTAAAGTCTAATGCAAAACTCCCAAACAGAAATGAAAGCCCAGGCTTTTAGAAAGTACTAACTCCAGAGATGGCTGGAGTGGAAGGAGACAGAGACGGGGTGAGCAGAGAACCCCAGAGCGACCCCCAGCAGCAACATCTTGGTCCAAGAACAGTACACGTCAAAAGGGAAAGCTGAAGCCGAATAAGATCTCTCTCTTTCCACTCTTTTGGCAACTGTCAGACGCGCGTTTCACCTCGGGAAATAAAAGTGTCCCATCAATAAAAGGAAATGTTCAGGGATGATCTATTAGGGCCCGGGGAGCGGCTTCCTTCCAGCCCAGACGTGAAATCACTTAATACGCTTTTGTGGCACCAAGGAATACCAAAGACTATTTTTTAAAGTGCGTTCATTCAGCACTTTCCCAAACTGCCTTGATTTTCGCTAAGAAACTTAAGCGTCTGCCAACAGCCCAGAAGCAAGGGCGAGACAACCTGCTGCAAACTAGGAGTGGAAACTCCCTCCGCCCGCCCAGCGCGCTCGCGCCCCGGGTGTTTGTTTTAGGTGTGGATGTTTCCGCGTCCGCTACACCTGCAGGGGCAGGAGCATTTCCTCCCAGAGGTACCCCGAGATTTAAAGCGGGAAGCTCCAGAGTCAGCGCCAAGTCCCCACACAGCCCGTCCCCTCTTCCTCTCGCCCGCTTACCTGTCATCGTAGCAGAAATCCGCGCTCAGGGTGTTGAGATACAAGGCGAGCCCCAGAGCGCTGCTCACCAACTCAGCAATCATCTCTCCACCGCCTTCCCTCCGGCTCGGCTCCCAGAGCGAGGGCAGCAGCGGCAACAAAAAACAGAAGCATCAATCCCCACCTTCTGGCGCCTTCTCCTCCCGGCTTCACTTTTCACTCGCTTCCACGCCCTCCCTCGGCTCCCCCCCGCGGGTCCCTGGAATCCAAGGCTCTCCTCCTCCTGGAGCCCGTGTCCGCAGCTCCTGCGTCCTCCCCGGGTGCGGGCTCACACCGCGCTCCCCATGCCCGGCGCCCGCGAGCGGCGAGCGGCGTTCGGGCTCCGCGCCCCCCGGCGGATGCGCAGGGCTGGTCCTTGCGCGGCTCGCGGTCCCCACCCTAACCCATGGCAGTGCTGGGCGTCCTAGGTGAGCAGTGGGACTCGGAGGTGGAAGAGCGCGGGATGGGGGCAGAGGGACTGGACCGAGCCGGGCTCTGGGACCAGCTGGAGGGAGGGAGAGAAAGAGGAGCGGGTGGGAGGGACAAGGCGAACCGCCTCCCCTCGCCGCCTCCCGGGCGCACGGCTCTGGTGCCGCTCGGGTGGACTCCGGCCGCCACGGCGGCTGCAGCTCATTCACTCTTTATTAGCTCCCGCCCAGCCCCAGCCCCTTCTCCAGTGAAGTGAGAAGCGGTGGCTGGAGACTCCAGAAGCTCCCGCGTGGGGTTCTCAGCTCTGCCCCCCGCGCCTGCGTGGCCAACCCTCCATCCGGGCTCGCCCCGCCCCTGTCCCCACCCAGATCCTCCCCCAAGGCTCCTCCCGCACAACCTCCTCCCGCTAGAGGCTCCTCCCACCACCTGGGACCCGAGGCCCCTCCTACCTATCTCACGGCCTTCTCTGGTTGCTTTCACCTTCCATTTCCCTTTGGAAAGCCCCCGGGACCCAAGGGTGACGGCTGCGAGACAGCGCAAAGGGCTAGCTGGACTGCGCCCTGGGGGGGCGGGGGAGGCGGGGCGGGGGCTAGAGGAGAAACGACGCCTCGGAATCCGTCCTGGAGACGTGGTCCCCAGCCCAGCTGCTACCTGGCGGCGTCTGGCACCGACTGGATCTCAAGTCCAGCGCAGCGTGTGCCAAACGTAGCCCAGGGTAAGTCGGCTCAGCTGGTGAGACTTCTAGGGCGCAGAAGAGAAAGAACAGGTTTAGCAAGTGCTGCAGCCTCGGTTGCCACAAACATTCGTAAGCTCACCAGTGCGTGAACTGAAATGTGTAATCGGGTTATTGAAGAGCTGGGGGATGAGGGGTGGGGTGGAAGGAGAGATTTCAGCAAGTGATTGACCCCAATGTCAGTGGAAAGATGCTTAGGGAGGGAAATGTTCCCGCGATCAGGTTAACAAGAGGGGACCCAAAAAGAGAGAAGCGGGCACACATAGACACACCCCGCAGCTGCGGGGGTCCGTGCATGGTTTTAGGGGGACTGTCAGGCTGACCCTGAGAACATAAAGATGCCTGTGCAGCCTTGGTATAGTGTTATCTTTAAATCTAGGAAAGTGGGAAGCTAATGCCCTTTCCTTTACTCCCGGATGCAGGACTGGATGGAAGGCGTCCAACATGATGAAATATGGTGTCGAAGAATGGTGTAAAACGAGCACTGGGTACTAAAGTTGCAAGACCAAAGAGGACCTTGGGCTGCCTGCCACACCTCCTGGCTGGATGAATGGCTCCTTAGGACCACAATGAACACTACTGCAGCGCCCCCTGCTGTATGGTATCCATAATGCACGGAAAACAGACCTATAGCTCGCTGACACTTCATCCCAACCCCTCCCGCTCTCCGAGAGCCGCACCTGAACCAGAAAACTCCAAAGCTAGGCAAGAAATTGAGCCCCCTGGATGTCTGGCAGTGACCTGCAAAGCAAATACCGTGGTCTGGGCGTCTTCAAAACAAAGCTCCATCTTTTCCTGATTTCACAAGGCAATCTATGTAGACACAGATGAAATGATGCATATTTTTTATACCTATTATGCATATCCATCCCATTTTTGTGTCTTGGAAAAACATACTTAAATATGCGCAGAAGGGAATTGTCTCTTTAAAGACAGGTACAGATCTTTTATCTTTTTCTACTCCTGCCCCCAAACTCTGCTGACTATTAAAATCTTCTCAATTGTTCCATCAAGTTTCTCTGTACCTGTGTCCTTCCACTGGGCTTACATTTTGATATTGGCTCCTAGTATATCGGAAGGAGGACACCCAACTCTAGGATAAAAGCCTGTGTTTCAGTCCCCACTCTATTATTATCTCAGTGACCTTTGGTAACCTCTTCAAGCCTTATTTTTCTCGCCTATAAAATACTGATAGCAATAATACCTATCTATGGGTACTATTATTATGAAGATTAAAGTAGTTAATGTGCTTGAAGCACCTAGAAAGCTACTAAGGGTAATAAAAAGTATTATTCTTATCACTGTTGTTATTTTCTCTAAATTCCTCCTTTCCTTTTAGTTGTTAATTCAGAGCTATCCCTTCATATCTGCACTGTCCAATCCTAGGCCAAGCTCTCTCATTTCTTGCTTGGATCAATGCAGTAGCCTTCTAAGTGATCTCCGTACTTCTACTTCTGCAATCTCTACACACACACACACACACACACACACACACACACACACACACACGTCTCAGCTTCAGTCATTAGAGAGAACATTTTGTTAAAAACCTACAATCCCTTTACCTGAAAATGTTTAAGAACATTCTGTTGCACACACCAAATAAAGTTCTAATTCTTTCCATGGCCAGCCAGGCCTAATTATCCCTCTTCTTTCACATTGTCCTTGCACAACACGGATATATAGCCCCTCTCTTACCACTGTTCTCTCCCTACTTGGAATAATTTCTTCCCAGATCTTCTCTAGTGCTTTAGCTTTCAAGTCTTAGTTAAAGTGTCATCACTTCACAAAGTTTTGCTCAGCCCACATTTCATAAAGAAGCTTTTTCCATAGCAATCTCTGTCCTATCACCCTGCATTTTCTTCATCTGAATCACTCCTAAAAGAGAAGTTCCAGGAGAACAAGGATTTATCAGTTTTGTTTTCATAGTACCAATGGCCTAAAATATCTGGTCAGGTAGAAGAAACAAACAAAAAAGTTAATGTTGACCATTGACAATAAACAAGTGTGCTTAGCAAAAACTAAATATCCACAAATTTTCATCATGAGAGAATTGGGTGAACTGATTTGTTGTTGACCTTAAAGCTGGTAAGGAACAGAGAAAAGGAGGAAGTAGGTTAAACATTCTTAAGAATGTATCAACTCTGCAAGAAAACCTGTGGTGGGAAGTCACCCACAGATAGTCCTCTTCAATAATGGAGAACTCAAAGGCATAAAAGTATTAGTGAGGTTTAGGCTCAGCATGGTAAAATCCAGTAGCATTTTTCAGAGCTGTGTCCATTTTAAGGCTGCAATAGTTTTAAATAAATATTTTCTACTTTCTTCCTCCACTCTCACCTTGTCTCCTTTCCCTACCTCCTGCTCCTCTGAATTAAAAGCCTAGAACACTGTCAGAAATGTCATAAAGTGCCACATCTAGTCATCCCTGACAACTGGAAGGCTGCAAATCCCGCTGTGTTTGAGAAATCCAGTTGCTTTTAACAAATTTTCCTATTATAATTTAATGTGGGTTCCAAGATTCTTGCAGTGCATTAAGGCTTGGTCTTTTTCAGATTGTTCTCCAAGGCCTGAGAAGCAGTCAATGTCTGAATTTTTTACCTTTCTTGAACAACTTTGATCAGAGGTGCGGCATCAGATGATGATGACATCAGATTTAAGATGTCATCATTATCCTTGGAAAGCATTTCAAATTTGGAGACGCTGCTTTTAGTTTATTAAGGTGTGCTCACCCATTGTGAGAGGACTCCATTCTGAATGAAAATATATATATTTTTAATTATTTAAAAATATTTTTTATTTATTTATACAAGCACTGGGTACAGTCAGAGGCGCAGGAGGGTGAGAGAATTAGCCAGAGCGGAGAGCAGAACAGGCAGGCTGACGAAGTACACTGCTGAGGGGAGCAGTGGGCGGCAGGAGAGATCTGCGCACCACATGGGCCCCTGGCCCGGTGGCCAGGGATCGAACTCCAGCGCTGCAGAGGCTGCGGGCATCTTCGCAACCCAGCGCTCGACTGCTGCGCCACCTGGGAGGCCCTGATATATATATATATATTTAAAGCTACTGTTGTTCTCCACAGATGAAGAAAATTACTCTGGTTGGATTGAGTTTTCTACCTAGACACCATACTGGCCCCCCAAAAAGCTAAGCCTTTATTTACCCCAAGTAGGTTCCACACATCTGCTACCTCACCACTTCCTCAATGAATTCTTTTTTATAGTCGCCCGACTTACCCTGCATTTGTTCTGCATTCCCAGTCCTTTGTTGTATAATTCATACCTTTGCCGTGCCAGTTCCTCGGGGTAAAGATTTCCTTATTTGCCTAAGACATTTTTAGTTTATTGTGCAACACCATCTTCCCTTTGGGTGTTGCATACATATTAACAAAAAATCCACATCTGGTCTTGGTCGTCATTTCTATTTGTCCTAATATAACTTCTCTTTGAACAATTCATTTGGAAAGTGTGCCAAGGGTGAAATGTGGCACATAAATTCGCCTGCTGCACAGAATGCTTTTTAAAATGCCCGCAGATTTGGTTATTTATGAACAGGAGATTTGCACCTCTTCCTTGCTCTCTCAATTCTAAAACTGTACCCGGCCAAAGTAATTACAATCTCCCATATGTTTTGTGAAAAGGTATCCAAGAATCTCCTGCTAAATCTTAACAGATTGACTAGGAAACAGAAAAACACTAGCCCAGCAGGTGAAAGTGCCTGTTTAGGAAGGTCAGAACAGAGCTCTCTGCTGGGGGATTCATAAGCTCTGAGCTTTACTCAGGAAATAACCCTGTAGGAGAAAAACAGCAGAGCGTGGATGAAATGTGGGTCAGGGAGCTGAAAGAGGCACATGGGCTGCTTGGTTAACTAATGACAGTAAATTCATTGGCTACACATGTTACATTTCGATGTTTCCCAGCATACCATAAAATGCTGCCCTGCAGACACTACAATGTGTACCATCGCTTTATTCCTGAATTTGTGATCCATTAGGAATATAATTAGGACAACGCAGTCAGGAAAACGGATCCTGTCACCTCTGTCACAAAACCAGGGCTGTTAAGAACCAGCTGCTACTAAAATAATGATCACTTTAAGAATCTGTCTCCCAGCTTCCAACTTAGAGGATGTGGGGGTGGGGGAGGAGAAGAGGAGGGGGAGGAGTGTAGAAATAACGTGTTAATAACCAGATAGGGATAATTGCAGAGATGTTCAGGCTAATGATAGAATTCAGAAACTCCATCAAGAAAAGCGAGGACAGCCTCCTTTATAGAATGTCTCTGAACGCATTCACATGCACTGGTATAAACAGTGATCAAAAATATTCTAACAGCTTGAAAAAGCTGCAGACTCTTGGGAACAGAATTTGATAAGCCTCAGATTTCATAAAAAAATGAACTTTCCACAAAAGCAGTTAATATATCTGTGCTGTCTAAAGTAGTTACTAACAGCTAGCTACATGTGGCTAGAGAACACTTAAAATGTGCCTAGTATGACTAAGGAGTTGAATTAAATTTTGTTTGAATTGAATTAATTTGAAATTTTTAAAGATGTATTTATGCATACAAAA